ACTACAACATCTAGAACTTTGAAAAACAAAGTTATTGATGGCTGAATTCTGCTCTTCAACCTGTCCTTGTATTGTTTATGTTGGCCCACATTCACACTGCTTTGGCTCACTGGCAAAATGGTTATTGTTAACGATATCTCAGCATTGCTAGACACACACAGACTACTGTGTGTGACTGTGTGTGTGTGTGTCTGTGTGTGTGGTAGAGGGTCATACCACTGAGAGCAGATAGCTTCAATTGGCAAGCTTTGTGTTCGACGCAAATTACAGCATTCAAAACCAAATCTGGTTTAATGGAACTGATCTAAGCTGGCATGTAGCAGGTGTTACAGGTGAAGCATTATCTGTAATTAAATGCTGTAGTGGCAAAACTATGATTATGACCACATGACTTAATTGCCGCTGTCTGCTTCTGGGATGTATTGGATTTAGGCCAAATTAACAAAGGCCCTGAAGTCCCACACATTTATGCGCTGCTGGGCTTTCTTAATGCCAGAATATGATTGTGGGAGTCGTGTTAATATTCACAGTTGAGGTGAAAAGATTCATAGTTTAAAAAAAAGATTTCATATTCATATGACTCCTAATTTGGGGGGGGTGTTGACTTGACTTTTCAGTTTGTACTTGGATGGTCTGCATTCGAGTGTCAATGAGAACGGGATAAAGATTAGCACCTCCAAGTCTGAAGCCGTGGTTATCAGTCAGAAAAGGATGGATTACCCAGTTAGGGGTTGGTAATAAGTAGCTCTACCAAGTGGAGGAGTATCGGTATCTTGGTCATAAGTGAGTAGAACTGGAGACTGAAAATTGGTTTGGTGTTAGCAGTGATGTGGACGTTGTAGCTGTGGTGAAGTGAAGCTGTTGATTTACTGGTCGATCTATGTCCCTACATTCACCTATGGCCATGAGCTCTGGGTGAGACTGAAAGATTGAGATAATAGATACAAGTGGCAGAAATGAGTTTCCTCCCAAAGGTGGCAGGGTGTCCCTTAGAGACATGGTGAAGAGCTTGGTCATTCAAGAGGGGTTCAAGCCAATATCCCCCATGTGGAGGTTCAAGCATCTGACTAGGATGATTCCTGGCCACCTCCTGCGTGAGATGCTTCAGGCATTTCCTACCAGGAGGAGGCCCAGGGGCAGACCCAGGACTTGCTGGAGAGATTATGCCTCTCAGCCTGCTTGGAAAAACCTTTGGTGTCCTCCTGGAAGAGATGGCAAGGGAGGAGGAAGTCAGGTTGTTTCTGCTTAGACTGCTGTCCCCACAAATCAGATTTTTGTTTTTGTTTTACCATTTCTATCTATTCTAATATGACCTACACATCTTCCCATCATGCACATCGTGCTGTTTTTTATCCTTTTAAAATATGCTTGTAGCGCATTTGCTTTAAGGTTCTAGAGTTAGACAGTGTCAGTGGATTTGATTTGGAGCTGTATTAACAAAATTGACTTAGCTTGACTGATTGGTTTTGAAATGCTCCTCACCAGAGGGCATGGAAATCAGTTCTCCAGATGTTGGATGTTTTTCTTTGCGCCACTTCCAGGCTTTTAAAATTCCAGATTACAAATTTATTCTTTGGTTTAGCTGCAAACCCACTGACCTGAGTTTGATGACAATCAGGATCTGTTCTTCTAAATCCTTTGTTTTCTCTCTGCCTCTTTGTGTTACAGGTCAGTCACATTGACAATAAGTCGCAGTGACAATAAGAAATCACAATCCCTAAGCAGTTGTTACATTTGCACATGTCACCTCTGTCCCCTTACATCTTTTCCGTTTCTGTAGCTTCAGCCAGCTTGACTTTCCTAGTCTCTTAACTTTTTGACTTTGTCAGCCTTCCCTTCTCTACCCTCTTGTATCATGTCTAATTATCGAAGTCTGTGCATCTACAGGGAGCTCCTCAATACCTCCTCATCAAAGCTCTTGTTTGTGTTTGCTTGTTTATCTCTGGCTGCTATTCTAGGCGCTCTCCTGGAGCCCTGATGAGACACAAGCCGCCGCTCCCCACGGAGGGTTATACTGTAAGCTGTCACTGCACCTTCAGTCATTCAAAACCCTGGCACAATAAGATTTTGTCTCTTTCTACCTCTTTTGCTCTTTTGCTCTTGAAGGCTGCATTCTATGTTGTCTCTGTATATATAGCATATGTATATACTTTCCCATGTCTTTCTGCTGATGCTTTTACTTTGTGCACATTTTAGAGAACGGCAGAATAATGAGAGCCATGCTGGAGGTTGTGTCCTCATCAAAATTTTTCTCTTTCCTCCTTTTTTCCATCTTTCTCTGTTTCCCCTCTCCATACAAAGTGCATGCACATTTTCATATATTTTATTTGAGTCCCGCTCCCCCTCCACCACCACTACCTTCCCCACTCCTGGAGGGTGCCAAAAGGAATCCTTCAGGTGTTGGTAAGAGAAAGTTTCTTGCTATGATAAGCCCTGAAAAATCTACCATATTTTAGGAGCAACATAAGCTAAAGTGCTAGGTTGCCTTCTGGGAAGAAAGAAAAGAGACCTGATTTGCAATGTGCGTGTATCAGGATGGGGAGGGCATTTTGGGGAAAAACAAGCAATGTGTCCAAGAGTTGATGTGTCAAGGCTTATTCTGGCAGCTTCTTTAATTTTATTGAATTTGATGTGCCAGGATAAAGTTTTATTTTAGTCTCAAATCTGGCATCATCTCTGAAATGTAACCTTCCTGTTGGTGTGCTTATTACCATCTTTATGAGGTTTTACAGGTTATGCATCTGGAAAGTGTTTTGCGAGGGCATGTTGTGCATTGGTAAGCACATATTTTGCGCTTCAAAGTGCTGTGATGGCGATTAGCAGCAGTAGTTGTGACAGCGTGGCATTTGGTATAGAAACGGCTCCCTGCATTAGTCAGATCTGTCCCAATGTGACATCTCAGTTACCCTGGTGGCTAAATGTTTACTGGTGTAGGACAGCACTCCTAGCATACCACACAGGATTGACAGTGACAAGCAAAATGTTGCTGTCATTGTGTGGGGTAAAAACCCCCAAAAACTTCAATTTCCAATAACTGTTTTAATTATGTTTCCTATATTTTTATGGAACCTAGTCAGTGCTGAATTACATGCGGGTCAGAAATACATGTTGTTTTTCTCCTAGGAAGTTAACTTTATTTTTAAATTTTATTTTAAGAGTTTCACTCTGTGGAGAGCAAAATATGGAGAGTTATGGCTTGTGATGGCAGGAAGTCGGTAATGACTGAGTTGCCGTGAGCTGGTTGCTATGTGTGGCTCTGCTCCTAGTTTGGGGTAACTCAAATATTATCCCACAGAGTGTCAGCTGCAAGGGAAAACAAATATTGTCTGTGCTTATCTTCTTGCAGATGCCTGAGGCTGCGTCATGACAAAAACAAAAAGCTTAATGGGGGTACTGGAAAGACATTTTGGGGGGATGATCGTGAGTCATATTGGGTATACATAGTAATGCTAGTCCAGCTGCATACTTCACAAATAGCAAAGGCTAAATTCCTGCCTTTGATTTTTGATACCGCTCATTAGCTGCCGCTGTCCTCTGATGTAGAGACTCAACTGCACTCCGAGAGTTGGGGACCAATGCAGAAATGTTGTTTGATTCTCATCTTTATACACTCTTCAAACCAGTGTTTCTCAACTGGGGGTACTAGAACCCCTAGTGTTAGTCTAAATAGAGCTGAGGGTTCTTATGATTTTTATGTTAATTTAAAACCTATCAGTTATGTATGTTTTTTAAACAAAACTGTTGTAAGTTGATATAAAAATGTTTGACAAGCCACATTTTTATGTTCAGTATTTCTGTTTCCGATGCACTTTGTAACTGTCATTAAGCCAGTTTCTAAACCAGACAGAGGAAGAAAAACAATGTTACAACACAGCAAAAATAAAGTCATCAAAATACTGTTTATCACTAACTTAGTGATGGATTTAAACAGCTAATGAGTAGTATTTTAAGTCTTTTTTTATGTTCAATGACACATATTATGCAGGCGTCTTCTTTTTTTCTACTAGAAAATGCTTTGAGCTGCTCGGGCTTACTTCCCTTAGAGAAGACAATTCAAAGGAGGAACATTATTGAGAAAAGTTTGAAAAAAGTTTATGAAATACTGCTTCAGGCAAGAGACGTTTTTTGCAAGAACACAAAAACCTCGTCAAAAACTGCATAACATGGACATCTCAACAAAAGGAAACACATAATAGGAATCCAGAGCATTCATCCAAAATAAGTGCTGAAGCTCATTCTCTCAATTCAGTGAATGTGGTACATTTTGAGCATAAATGCATCCAGCTGACTCGCCTCATATTTGTTTAACCTCTGATCTTTAACCTTTGCTCCTATCCCGTCTTGTTTTTGTCCCAGGTGCCGAGATGGATGAGGCTGAGAAATACAAACAGCGCATTGAGGCCATCGCTGTGAGTCCACACACACACACACACACACACACGCACACACGCACACACACACGCACACACGCACACACACACACATTTATCTGCATACACAGAAAAAAAGAGGGTGAAGAGAGCGTGCTCTTAGAGCTGTCCTTAACTCTTAAATATTTTAATGAGTGTGCTGCGTGCTGAGCCAGTCTGTCCCCGGTCCCACGAAAACAACACCAGTTTGCCAGGCAACAGCTGCTTTGAGCGTTATGTAAAATAGAGTACACCTAATGTTCACAGTGACAGTGTCCTATGACATGATGGGTGGTTAGATAGGTGTCCTCATTTCACTTCTCCTCTCCATTAACTTCTTCATGGCTGCTTCTCACCTTTCTTTATTTCTGATGTGTTATTTACTCTTCCAAATCATCTTCCTGCTGCCTCTCTTCATTTCTACTAAACTCTCTAAGTATGTCCATATTTATTCTCTTTCCTTGCCATATTTCGCATTCCTCCACTTCTTTTTTGTAGGAGAAGCGTCGGTTGCAGGAAGAGCAGGACAGATCCAGAAGAGAGAAGGAGGATGAGAAGCTCAGACTACGGCAGTTCAAGGTCTGACACACACGTATTCAGGATGAGCTAACCTGTCTCATTCATTTACACACTTACTCACACAGAGAGACACAGCCTTAATTTCACTCAGCTAAAATCCTCCGTAGGCTCATTCCAGCTCATTCCAGCTTGTTAACAAGCAGATTGCCTCCAAATTTATTTCCTTTTCACATTCAGTATCTCACACATAGACACACGGATGAGCTGTAAGTACAGACTTGCACATTTCCTCGCCCTGTCACTCTCTCACAAGGTTAGCGGCAAGCCTTCCTTTGTTGAAATCAGTTTTTATGTGTGTGTTTACACACTCACATAGTTACAGAGCTGCTCTATTGTTTTCACATCATTTCCACACTGGTGTTCCAACTTCCTACTCCACTGTGTTATGCTGCCCTGGAGCACATTCCTCAAATTTTGTGAAATTTGTGCAGAAAGTGTTTGTGTGCATGCAGGTATGCATGTGTGTGCCAGTATAAATCCTGTAGCAGAATATTGTGTGTGCCTGTGAATTTGTGCAGAGTGGTCCAAATGTGCGTTTTTGAGATCAAAAGTCTATTTGCAAGAGGCTTCAGCGATTAATCTTACATGATTGTATTGCCGTCTCGCAGGAGTTATTATCGTTACAGCTTTTAGCACATTCATTAGCTTTGACATTGACTCTAACCTCTGGTTAGATGCAAGGATTTGATAAGTGGGAGCAGCAGCTTATATGCAGTTCCTGACCTGCAGAGAAGTTTAGAGGGGCCTGCCTAGCTAGCCAAAGGCACAGGGAGGGAAACAGAGCTAGGCTTGTCCAGCACAGCAGGAGAAAACACAGAGATGGTATTGTGACGTTTACTTTTGAGTAGGAAACTACTGGCCAACGGTGGCCAGATTATGAACACATGGGCCAATAATCTGAAACAGAGCGGTTTCTGAGAAGATTGCAGACATCGCCTTGTATTACAGAGTGAGAGATATCACTTTTACAAGATTTATATCACATTGAGCACTGTGATAGAGCTCACCCGGTGTCAGCTGGAATTGATTTGACCAGACATTTTAATAGAGAGACATGACACTCAATAGAAACCTATGCCTTCTATATGCCATGCTTTATTTCGAGGTAAGGTTTGAGCAGTTTATCAGATATGTGCTTTTAAATTAAGGTTATTTGATGTAATGCTTCGATTAACTGCACAAGCAGGTGCCTGGAGACATGTTAAGCAGAGATTTACAAGTTGCAATTTTCTTGGCCAACTGGGATTTCCTTTATAATATGGTAATATTGACTTTTGCCAATTTCAGAATATACAGTACATGTCAACAAAATCTGTTTATTATCATAACATTATCAAATGTTAGTTTTTGTATTAAAACAAGATTACATTTTAAATGTCCCCAAACTGCATTAAATATATTAGCTCAAGTGTTAATGAAATATTACGGCACTGTTTTCCTGTTTTATTATACTGCCACCTGCAGTTAGTTCAGAGGCCTTGAGTTTCAGTTAAACGTCTGTTGCTGGTAGCAACCACTACTAGCAATATGCTAACTCGGTTCCATAACCTAACAGCACAGTAAGAGTAACCTAACAGTAAGCTAGCTTAACTCTATTGCTTTCACTACGTTCCAGATATAACTTATCTAACCTTGCTGAACCACTATCTGTAGGTATTTCATTTTCTGAAGCTGTTTTATTAATATTCTTGTAGTCTATTAATTTCTACTAGCCCAGGTTAGCCTCGTGCTAAATAGGCTAGTAGCGATGTGCTAACTGTCATTTGTTAAACTTTCTGACTTTGCTGTTAAACTTATATGTGGACTGCTGTAGTATAATATAATCACATTAGTAAGAATATTTTTATTTAATATTTCATATCTATATGTATACAAAACATAATAAATCAGAATAATAAAAAAAATAAAAGACAGAAGATAAATATAAATTCATACAGCTCTGTTCCCCTGTGCTAACAAATAGCAAAAAAAAGTCTCTTGGTTTCTGGCCAATCCACCAAATGAAATACTCAACAAATGCAAAAATAAAATATCACAGAGCTTTTCAAACCTGTCAATAATTTGACTGTTTGGATACCATGTTTTCTTTAAAAATCATGCTAAATCCAGTAGTACAATATTAGAAAGCTTTTCAACTTCACTGATTCAAACATATGTCCCAAGTCACATTTATTTGTTTTCATCATTTTATTACCATACCTTCGAAGTAAAAGTTGTGAAGCATCTAAAAGATCTTCCTACAGAGTTATTAGTTGTGCGCACACCTCTTGTGTCAGGTCTTGTGTTGGTAGCTTAAGGTGGCAGAAGAGTTGAAATTATATACAGTGTGTTGATTGTGTGCCTAGACAATAGACGGTCTGTTTTTTTTTAAAGGATGTAGTCACCATGATTTCAGCTGCTGGTTTGTCCTGTTACGAAACCTGACCACTTTATTGTGGGATTTTGAAATTAGACACGATGGATACGAAGCTGCATGTTTACTGGCTAACCACTTGTGAGTGACATATTGTTAACTAATCAGCAGTACCCTTTATAATCCTCCTGTCTGAGTCTTAAAATTACTATAATTTATAAAATGAATAATGTTCCATTTAATGTGACCTGTAACAGTGTTTGAGTCCAGTAAAGTCATCAGGAAAGTGTTTACTGAGGTCAAAGACCGAGGGGGCAGAGGGCTGTTTTCCCATAAACCTCTATGCAACGATAAGTCTTGGAGCCACGTCCCTTTTTTATTATGTCTGTGGTGTAGACTGTGTTTCATGGATGGTTTGGCAAAGTGAATATCATTAGACACACAATGATAATGCTGAGAGTCTTAAAATACAGGAGAAAACATGAAAAAACTGAGTGTTGGCAGGCCTCCAGTGCTGCTAATAAGCTAGTTTACCTATTGATTTGCAGTGCTGCTTAAACATATGACTGAAAATGATCTGAGATATAATCAGGATATATATAAAATATTTGCAGTCTATTTCTCCATATTATAACCCTCTAAACCCTTCAGTAATATAATTACATTAATGAACTACAATACTAATGAAAGTTGGTTCACTGTTTTTCCCCCTTCATCTCCTTCACCCCTTCTTTGTTCCTGTAGAGGAAGTCGCTGAGAGAGCAGTGGTTAATGGAAGGAGCTCCCTTATCCCCAACTTCTCTGGACGCTGAGAGCCTTCACTCACCTCCATGGAGTGCCCAGGCCCAGCATATGGAAGAGCACATTGAAAAGTATATCCACAGTTTGTGGGATTTTGTGTGTGTGCATCTGTGTGTTAGTGCTAGAAGACAAGGAAGACATTTTGTGTTTGTCTGAGACAGTTAGCAAAGCAGAGAATGAGAGAAGTGTCACAATTCAGTTGTTTTTGCATAGTTGAAACTTCATGTATATTGCAGAATACCCTCTTCTGTTTCAGTCTTCTAATAGTTTTCTTCTCTTTTTTTGCTTTTTTGTACATAATGTATTCTTTGGCAAAACTGAATTTTAATCCTGCCAGTACTGAACTCACGCAGAGAAGGAGCCACACACGAAGAGATTTTTCTGAACTGTAGTGCACAAAGTTGTCAAAGCTCTGAAAATTACAAAGATCCCACTCTAATTATTCCAAAGGTCCACAGCTTTGTATCACTTTCCTATAAGTTTTCCAGCACATGTTGTACATGACCTTTGAGGAAATGTAAACTAAATTTTTGGGGAAAAGTGCTTGTAGTAGTGATGCCTACTATTATTCAGTTAGGGTAATGTAATATTTACCCAAGTTCTTTTAGACCTTACCCAGTATGAGGATGTTGTTATCATAGGATTGATTGTGTTTGTTCTTTCTTTGTACGTTTGTGTCCATCTCAGGTCGCAGTCAGAGAATAAGCAGTTGGCAGACGAGCAAGAAAAGCTGGAGCAAAGGACAGAGGATGGTGAAACGGTGCGGTAGTTGTGTGCTCACACACACTCACACTCACCCACTCACCCAGTCACTATGTGGACACAAAAGGGGTTGGTATATGTGTTGAACAAGCTTGCTCCATCATCTTCCATTAAGCAGAAAATTTCCCACAACCTCTGTCTGTGGCTTTTTGCCATGCATAATGCATTCCACTCTTAATGTACCTTTGATGTAGCACCTCTTGTTCAAAAGCAGGAACTTCATAAATGCAAGCAACCCCGTTATGTAAACAATACGGCATTAGATCCTCTCTTGAATTATTGTTTTAGCTCAAGCCAAGGCCGTGTATGTGTACTTCACGTCCGAAGGCCTTTATAGTCGGACAAAAGTTGTCTGTCCTCGTCTACTGCCTGCTCCAGGGTCTTTTAGTAAAGTTTGTCATACTTGTATATCTTAACCTTGGCTTTTGGAGCTCAACTAAAATCAGTAGGAGACGTAAACAGAAGATTCCACTTTTAATAGGTTTTACAGCCTATTAGCCATGCTGGCTGTGATAGAGGAACCTTTGAATGCTTGACCTTATCTTCTGTGAAAATTAAATGTTTTAAACAAGCTCAGCCAATAAGGCTTTGATTTTAGTGGGCCAGACTGGGAGTGAGTGAAAGGTACAGTACATCTGATAGACCAAATTCACATTTTTCTTCACTTCTTGCGTGTTTGATGTGGTTAAGTACTTTAGATGGGGTCAACTTTCACCGGTTACAGCAAAACCACATAAATTTTGCTCATCAGCTGCAGCAGCAGCTTGTTTATAGGGAGCTGGCAAAATAAATTGTGTCGAACGCTAAATCTAAAGGAGGAGGACTGGGACGTAGCTTATTAATGACTCATCCAGCAAACATAAAATCATTATCTCAGTGCAAATCATCAGCTAGTCTCTCCATCCATGTTACATCAGCATGATTACGTTGGCCAAAAACATCTGAACAGACAGCGGTGCTGTGCTAGCTTTACACTGATTGAGTGGTGCTGACTAACACAGCAGGGGTGAAAGCTCAAGCCACAGCAACAAGTAGATAAGTTAGTCAGTATGTGAATAAATGCCATTAACACTGCAATCATTCTGCAAGCACATTCACACACCACAGAAAATAATATGTGGTGACCTTTAAAAAAAACTCAAGTTACAAAATAAAAAAACTAAAATAACACGACACACAAAATGGTGACATGAAAAACTTAATTCTACAGACAATCTACATATATAAAACAGCTACTGTGACTTCACCCACTGACTTTAAACAGCATAAACTTCAGCATTACAGTTACTGCCACGTTTAGATTTTTTGGATAAGAAGTGACTGTATTTGGATATGAGGCTGTAGAGCGAAGTTTTAGGCTAAAATGCCAAAATTTCAGTCACTAAAAGTGGAGAATGAGCTTCTTGGATGGTCTGCAATTAGGTAATTGCATTAGAAATGCCCCAAAGGGCATCAACATCACAATAACGGTTGAGAGAGTCAGTGACTCGAATTAGCAGAGGTGACGCCAGCAGGCAGCTGCTGGCTACAGCCACAGTCTGTTCAGAAATAAAGCTTCATTTCTTTCTTTCACGCTATTGTGGTTGTTGCTTTTTTAATGTTTGTATTTTATGACAGAGCATTGACTTTAAGTACACTTAAAATGTGCATCATCTTTTTTTGGCTGCTCCCTTTAGTGGTTGCCATAGCGGATCATCTGTCTCAATCTCATCAGATCTCACCCATTTGAAGGGGGAAGTTTAGTCAGTTTAGATCAGTTTAAACTGCACTTGTCTTAACTGATTATAGTGTTGGGTAGAAATTAGCAAACTTTATAAAGTCAACACTTCACAATGTCACCATTTGAGTACAATACATTTCATTTGTCCCCTGTTCCTTTTTACCCAACAGGTAAAAATGTTACATGCTGGAGATGGTAAGTAGATGAACATCTCTTTGGGAATTAAGAAATGTAAAAATTTGGTGCTTTGCTTTTCATTGTCTTTTTAATCAAAGAAAGTGATAAATTCAGTAAATCAACCCTGAAAAATAGTTTAAATTCATAGAGAATTTGTATGTATAAATGTAGAGTGAGATATTGCTGTCATCCATCTGCCTGCTTCACTTAACACTCACATGGTATTCTGTCCAAAGCCTTTTAATGTGTGCGTGCACACTTTTCTGGCACCTACCAACTATCAGTCAACAGCTGCGCTACTAATTCCGCTTTTACTTAATTGCATCAGTCCATACTGATTAGATTTCATTTCTTTAATTGAAATTAAAGAAATGAAATCTTCTCTTTCTTTACTTGCAATGGATTGTGAATGGATGCCATCCTATAGAAAACAATAACGTTATTTAGTCAGGACATGACAGCTTATCCAAAGCACAGGTGTAATAACTGATGCACTACACCTTATACTGTAAATTCTGGTTAATTATTGCTCCATCATGTTCAACATGCTCAAGTTACACATTACATGTCTATTAATAACTAATTATTTTGTCCTTAGAAGTGGTCAGTGATGTTGCACAGAATGGAGAAAGCAATTCAACTGGATCAGGTGGGCATAGGACATTCACCTCAACAGAATATCATCCAGAAACATCCAGGCTTTTATTAAAATCTCCGTCATCATCCTGAGCCTGATAAAATCTTATCCTTTCTCTGTCCTTCCTCTTGTTAATTCTTATCTAATCACCAGCTTGTGCTGACCCTGTTTATCTCACCTCAAAGACCACGTAATTCCCTGCAGATGTGCTTGTCTATATGAGTTGTATACACTGATAGAAATTTGCATTATAAAGGACAGAGTGGCACACGCGTACCTATGCTGTACTGGAAGATCATATATTCTGTTATGAATAATTACACATGTTGGATAAGGGTTTGAATTTAAATATATGCTAATAGAAACCTAAGTGCATAACTTGCATTTTTATAGTTCAGCAGGTTCATGGACATGTCCGTTGGGATGCTACTCAAGCTGTTAAAGTAGACAAAAGAGTTGGTGAAATGTAATCAACCCATCCATTTATATTGAAATCATCCAGTGCCTAAAACTTTCTTGTCCAGACTGCAGAATTTAAATGGCTTCAAAAACATTAGTTGGCATACTGTATCTAGTTTAAGTCCAGTCCTTTTTCCATTCTCGTGTGTCCAACTCTTTATAAAGCTAGTACTTCTTTACCTCATGGCCGAGCCTAAAAGGTTTAGCATATATTAATTTTTTTACTATTTGATATATACACATGAACTATTTCAACATCAGCTAAAAAATATATCTATATTATTATTATTTTTCTTTTTTAATGTATTTTTAGCTGATGTTGAAATGGTCAATATCTTCTGCTTCATTCAAATGGATACCTCTCTTCATTAGTATGCACTTCATGGAGCAGGTCAATAATTTTTCCATCTAATGGATCATTCATGGATAGAAAACCGTTTGGTTAAATGTTGCACATGAATTGGCTGCACCGAGCTAATGATGTAAAAAGCAACCTCTAACTGTATTGAAAAGCTGCTTCTACACCAGCCATTATGAATGTTTATAATCAATGTAAAAGGTTCAGTTCAATATTGATGAATGAAGAACATTTTTTAACGAATTTTGTTGACCTTTATTGATATGTATTTGTTGGTTTCTTCAGAAACAAGTGAAAGTGATACGGAGATATACCAAGAGGCACCACTGGATGAAAATGGAGTCATTGTAACCAATGGTGTGGAAAACACTGAAGTTAGTGCTTCAGATGAAAATAATCAGTCACTCACTAATGGGCCAACCAGTGATGTTAGTGTGGAGATGGGAAAGAATTTGGATGTTTCTGAGGAAGATCCAGTCAAGGTTCCAAATACCAATGTTAAAGAAGAGGAGGAAGAAGAAGGGACTCTGGTGATGAGAGCAGAATGCATCTTCATCACAGATGATGGGGATGATGTTTCTGGAGAGGTTGTGCCGCAGGCAGATCAACAGGAGTCCGTGCAGTCAGACCAGATCCTTCTGCCAAATCCAGAAGCAGAAGCCAGCAAAGAGGGAGGGGAGGCTGCAGAGGAGGATGTACAAACAGAAACTTTTACAGAGCCAGAGAGTGAGCCATTGGGAGACATAGATGATAGCATAAAGGCAAATCCAGGTGAAGATGAAGATAGAGATGTAAAAACTGAGGGCCAGGACAACGAATTGAAAGATCCAGCCTGTGTGCAGTCGCAGTCCCTAATCAGTCCTCCAGAGAGCACTGTGGTGGCTTTGTTGCCTGTCTATACTGAGGCACAACCTTCTAATCTTAGTCCCAATCTACAGGTTCAAGCTGAAGAATCAGCAGCAGTACCAGAGGAAACTGAGGCAGCATCAAAAGCACAAGAGGCTACCTGTCTTACTGATCAGTTCCAGGAGGTGCCTCTGGCTGATGCCCAAGAAAACCAAAGAACAGAGGCAGGGTCTGGGGAACAGGAACCCCTTCTGTTGAATGCCAAAGCCCCCAGCACCATGGTAGAGCCAGCAGGCGCTGACAGCCCAGCCAATGCAGAGGCACAGAGCCCAAACGCAGGTAACCAGGGAGATGCAGCTGAGTCAAACAAACCCAAAAAATGCGACTGCTGCTCTGTCATGTAAATGCCCTGTGTGTACATGCATTTACTCTCAACCTCTTCACTCTGCCAGTATCCTTCAGCCTGTGCATTGGCTGCTCAGTTCATAACAATTACTTCCCTCATCTCTTTGTTTTGTGCATCCATCCATTTTTTTTTTAATAAGAATGCCTGGAAGCTGCTTCCCTTTCCTCCACTGTCCACTGCCAACATTCCTAGTATTCCTCTTGAAATTTCCTCATCCCCAGTCTCAAGCTTTGATGCTGCAACAGGAAGTGTGCTCGCTCCAACATGAGGAGAGGAATCATATGGACTGAACTAGTTTTAAAGTGGAACTACAGTTTTAAAAAGAAAAACCAAACAGGTTTTTTTTGGGACACACTGTTTTGAGTTTGATAAAATTCTCTTCAGAGAACAAAAATGATTTCATGTATTTTACATTATTTGCTGAAGTCATTTTGTAGTTTTAAAAATCTGAGTTGTAACTGGAAAATTGCAATGTTATGGAAAGGTTCATAAATTTCTGGAGATATTCTGTTTTACTGACTTGAAGCAGGACTGTTATCGCTTTAGGCTTTTCAATAAATGTTTTTAATCCCACTACAGTAGCCTAAACAGGTTTAACCAACTGACTATTTGGTTAAATTGTGTCATTTATAAACAGTGTGCTTCATTGATAGTTAAAAAAATATTACCTAAAAGTATGATACATATGGGTTTTTAAAAAAAAAAATCTTAACATGGAAGGCCTGGAATTCCTGAGATGACTCTGTTACAAATGTACATACTGTATACAGAAAGCGTGTATAATTTTTTTTTTTTTTGAAATGATTTAATGATTAAACTGTCATTTGCAATACTCTTCTTAACATTACTTGGTCTGCATTCAGAGTTTTTGTTCTTCCAATAGTGGATTTGTCCCAAAACATCATCCATGCTTCATGCAAAAGAAATGCAAAAGCGACTGTATTACATTTTTTCTCTGTTCATGGTTTTTTATCTAGTTATATAGACAGCACTAGGAAACAGAATTTAAGATTCAGATTGAGAAATCCCAAGACACAAAACTTAACTTTGCATGTATTACTACATGCAGTTTACTTTTAGATTGTATTTATTGGTTTTTATTTTGGACATACTGCTTAGAAAAAGATATGTTAAAGCATTGAAAGGTGAATCATGAGTGCACACTGGACCAGTCTTCCAAATGTATGCACATGAAGCTTTTTATTATGAAAGAAATAAGGGAACTAGTCATCACCTTTTGGCAGTAGCTGGTGTTCCCTTCAACATGTCTCACTGCATGCACTTCTCCCAGGTCTTGGGATAGTCCAATGGATAACAGCAGGGTCTTCTTATTGACCAGACTAAAGCTGGAGTCTTTGGAGAAAGGACTGCAGCATGTCCTCGAACTGAAAAGAAGTCCTGCTGAGCTGAGAGCTCCCAGAATCTCTGCTCCATCTGACAACAAAGACATTTCAAAAAGTTATTGCATGGGGATCCTGTACCTCTCTAAACTAGGTTGAAACATCACTGTGCAGATTGGCTGTGCATGGATACATTTGTCCAAGCTATAAATTACATATTTACAAATTTGTTATTATAGCCAACCCTTTCTTTCAACACCAAGATTAAGTCTACACGCTTATTTCTTTCAATTTAAGATTTCTTTCATTTATTATTGTAGCATTTCTTTATCATGTATGGTCATTTTATACAGAGATATTTCAGTGATTAAATGTGCAGTTTAAAGTCTTCACACTGGCAGAAGGCAAAGTTTCACTGGTCCGGCCCACACATCCATGTCACACCTAGGACAGGTTACTAGTCTGTTGCAGAGCTAACAAAGAGAGACAGACAATAAATTTCCACCTACAGCCAATTTGGAATTATTGGTTGAGCTAATATACACATGTCTGGACTTCAGAAAGAAGACAGAGTGCCTCAGAGAGACCACTTAGGCACAGGGAGAACATATGACCTCCAGACAGACATGAACCAGCCAACTGCAGCATTCAAACCCAGGAAATTCCTGCCGGGAGGTAACAGTGCTAGTCACTGCTGTTGTGCATAGCATTGCAAAACAGGCAGATATTCCTCCATCGCCATCACTCTTTCCTTTCAATAACAGACTTTTCCCTCAGTGCGAGATGTTGCCCAACCGGTGTTATTACTTGGCTTAACTCTGGTTAAGAATGCCTTAAAAAGCAAAGTTGTTCAGTTACTTGGTGCAAACCACAAGTCGTCTTCTCATCTCAAGAGCTCAGTGTTAGATTTGGTAATATGTAGGGGAGCATCTGAGAAAGAACTTCTCATTTATGATTTAATAACCTGAAACCTGAACAATTAAAAAACTTGCACACAATATATTGGAACAGCCTGTATCGTGTTAACAGTATTACTAGATTTTCATATTTAAGATTTTCTCTCTATGGGGAGAGCAGATGATGAATTTTACGCTTAAAGCAGCCACGCTGGCAAAGGTACTTAAACCAACCGAAAAGCTTTCAAAAGTCTCTGCTAAATAAAGCAAAAGTGAGGTTTTAATATTTTTCCATTTCTTCTCAATTTAAAACAGATTTATCACAACTGATAAAATGAAGAGTGCATACAACTTGAGGTCATTGACCATTTGTTACTCAAATATTGCATTAGACTGAATGTTGAGTTTACCAAACGTGGTGTAAACAACACACAATCCTTTCACCCATCCTGGAATTTCCAGCACTACAAAACTGAGAATGTGAAAGAATTGAACTAGAAGGAAAACCTCTTTACCAGACACATTTTCAGTGAGACCCCACGGTGCGACGGACATCATGTTTGCATACTACTTCTCACACTTCTCTGTTTGGTGTCTGTGAGCCGTTCAGCTCCTGTGGCCTGTGAAAAGTTGGTCAAGCCTTTGGAACAGTTTGATATTCACAATGTGACGGGAAGGTGGTCTTTAGTCGCTGTCAGTCTGAAATTTGATTCCATTGCAAGAAGAAGAGCCAGTGTAGTTGTTGATATCCGTAACTCCTCGTACATCACAGCTGAACGAGTTGCTGGCAGATGCCAGTATGAACTCCTTGACTTTACTTTGGAAGGCCACGTCTTAACCATGACGGCGAGAAATGTCAACCTCACTGGAACTTTGTTTTATACATCCTGTGCAGACTGTATGGTGCTCACCATGCACATCAAGTCCCCCATTTATCGTGCAGTGGAGTTCTACCTGCTTAGCCGGAGGAGACAGCTGGAGCAGAAGGAGATGGAGGAGTTCAGTGCTCAAGTGCTGTGTCTCAGCATGCCTCCACCTATTGTGATGGATCCTAAAATGGAGCTTTGTCCTGTATAGACAACCAACCAACAAACTGACCAGAGAATGATAGAAGTCCCATAAAGGGAGCAAGGGGAAAGAAGAAGAAGGAGGCGAAGAAGACAGTTAACTTCAATGTGCCAAATGTCAGCGTATAGTGTGACAAAAAGAATAACAATTGATGATCATGTGTTGGAAGCTATAAAAACGAGTTCTAATTCTCCATTTTTTCAATCTGTGTTTTTTTTTATGTTTAAGGACCAACAACAGCTTGTTGAACCTGTTCTTGTTGGATGGTTTTATGAGTTTTATGTGATCCATTATCCATCCATCCATCCATCCATTCGCTTCCGCTTATCCTTTTCAGGGTCGCGGGGGGCGCTGGAGCCTATCCCAGCTGTCATAGGGCGAAAGGCAGGGTACACCCTGGACAGGTCGCTAGTCTGTCGCAGGGCCAACACATAGGGACAGACAACCACCGTGCCACCGTGCCACCGTGATCCATTATATAGTGCATTTAATCATATCTTGCAAATGACATACTGCACATCAAAAAATGTCTATATTTTTGCTTGTAAATTACCATGCTAGACCAAGACTGTAAAATGATTTTTATTGTAAATTTATAACTTTAATCTCAGAAGTTCTCAGTCTTTTCTCTGCACATTACCCCACTATACCACTTCATCATTTTTAAATTACCTTGATAAGCCCTTTTACACAGAAGTAAATAGAAGCTCTCTGAAAAATGTATTCAAATACATAGTATACTGAGAGGTTAACCAAAGTATTTTGTTTAACCAAGAGCATCAGAATAGTAGCTTTAGCTAACAGTATTGCTCCATATCTTTGGGTGTACTAATGTTATATTACTAACCTACTGAAATTGCTAGTGCATCAAATATAGCACGCTAGTACATTTTCATATGCTGTTAATTAAATTCCTATGTTGCGTATTATGATGATACCTTTTTTTCCCTTGTCCTCGGGAAGAGCAAAGTGGGAAACTGTAGCATCATAATAAACCAAACTAAAGCAATTATGGGTTCACATGGAAGTATTCATAGTCTGCTTCAGTATTCCCAGTGTGCAAAGAAAGATAAAGTCTGTTTAGTTTTGTTGTGCAGTGGGAAATTGTGAAACTTGAGATTAATGACATCCAGTTTAACAAAAATGACTATCCACACACGGTTTCATGATATTTCATGTTCGTCATGTTGCATATTTGGTAAGCAGTAGGTCACACCTTTTAAAATGTGTGCTTGTCTTTAAGGTAGAATAAGTTTAGTTTTCAATCAGCATCAATTCATCACAAAAATTTGTTCACTGTTTGACTTTTTTTTTTCATTATTTTGTTGATGATAGAATAAAAGTGTATCCCTATTCAGTAACTGAATCTGATTTTGCTACAGTTCACAGAAATTTCTGCTATTTCAAAACCATAGAACCTGTTATTGCCAGTGTTGCATAACTGGAGGGTTCTGATCCAACTAAATAGTTGTACACAGTACAGAAGAGGGTAACTGGCTTCAGCACTATTTTATAGCAGTTTATATCATTTTAAAGAAATATATGTACGTCTATATTGACGTTCTTATTCAGTAAACTTCTCTTATTTAGTTTGGAGCTTTTATATGCTGTGAACTGTTCTAACATAACATCCAGCTAATTGCAAAAATATGCCAAACTGAAAATATTTTTAGCCCTTCAGAAGCTACCTTAAATACCAATCGAAAATGAGTGCTGCAGCTTTCAGTAGCAGACTACATATTGTCAATAAATGCAGTCTGCTAAATACATTGAACCCTTTCATTTATATTTATATCATCCAGTGTCTAGAACTTTCTGTCCAGACTGCACAATTCACCAAGAGTTGTTTTCAACTCTTCAATCAGCCATTGCTTCTTTGTTTTGCGACGTAACATAAAGGTTTAGAACATTTTATAATTCTTCTCTTTTTGTTTTGTTTATTTTTTGCTGTTTTTGAAGTGGTTGATACATTTTTGTTAAACAGCAGAATGAACTCATCCTAACCAATAGTAGGGAAAACCTTGCTCGAGGGCAGAATAATCAGTCAGTTGCTAACAGGTCAATGACACCCACTGTTCTTAGCATGAGGATGGAAATGGATTTGGGTTTTCCTGAGGCAGATCCTGCTCGGGTTTCAAATGACAATGTTAAAGAGTGGGAGGAAGAAAGGGGCACTCTGATGATGAGAGCAGACGATGATGGGCATGATGTTTCTGGAGACGTTATATAGCAGGCAGATCAACCGGAGTCCACGCAGTCAGATTAAATCCTTCTGCTAAATCCAGAAGCAGGCGACGAGGGAGGGAGGAAAGGGGGGTAAGACTGTGTGGGAGAAAGTAAAAACAGAAACTTTTACAGAGAAGAGTGAGTCACTCACAGGCATAGATGGTAGCATTACGACAAATCAAGATGACGATTGAGAGATAAAAACTGAATCAGGACAGAAAATTGGAAGGCCCAGAGTATCTGTTGCTTTTCGGTGTCTGTGCCTTTTGTTCCCTTCAGCATGTATCACTGCATGTCTCTACCAGCTCCTGGGAT